GTTCAGGGTGTATCCTGCCTTGTGTCCTATGATGGACTGGCATCCGGTTCAGGGTGTCCCCTGCCTTGTGTCCTATGATGGACTGGCATCCGGTTCAGGGTGTATCCTGCCTTGTGTCCTATGATGGACTGGCATCCGGTTCAGGGTGTATCCTGCCTTGTGCTCTGTGATTTCTGCGATAGGCATCTGGCACACTGTAACCTTCCACTGGATAAATGCTTGTGGAAAATGGCTGGATTAAGTGACTGGCCCAGGGCCAGTGTCCCGTGAGCACTGTGCTGACCTGAGGCTCACATCTCTCCAGGGTTACCTCAACAAGCTGCAGGAAGACATCAGCAAGACGCTGGAGAAGGTGACCAGCCGTGAGAAGTACATCAACAAGCAGCTGGAGCACCTGGTCCAGGACTACCGCAGCGCTCACGCCAAGCTCAGTCAGGCGAGTGGGCTGGCCCGTGGTGGGGGGGCGCCTGGTGTTCTTGGAGCTCAGTCTGAGATACAGGATCTGTGACATTAAGAGAATATGAAAAATAACGAGAAACATACAGAATGATGAGATGAAAACTTTGTGTGCCCTGTGCTTCATGGGATATACTACAGGCTCAGGGATGGATGGATGGATGGAGGGATGGTGCTTCATGGGATATGCTACAGGCTCAGGGATGGATGGATGGATGGTGCTTCATGGGATATGCTACAGGCTCAGGGATGGATGGATGGATGGTGCTTCATGGTATATGCTACAGGTTCAGGGATGGATGGATGGAGCTTCATTGGATATGCTACAGGCTGAGGGATGGATGGATGGATGGATGGAGCTTCATTGGATATGCTACAGGCTCAGGGATGGATGGTGCTTCATGGAATGTGCGATAGGCTCAGGGATGGATGGATAGAGTTATTCAGAGTTTAAAGGAGTTGTAGATGTGGCAGTAGGTTATGACTCTGGCTGGTGCTGGATAGGGCCTCAGTGAGGGTGAGCTGAAACTGCTGGGTTCTGAATATAGCATGATCCAGCCTCAAAAGGATGCTAATTCGCCTCTTCTCTGCTGGACCCCTGAAGTCCAGGGAGCACTATCAGCAAGGCAGCGGCGGAGTGACCGAGAGGACCAGAGTTCTGTCTGAGGTAGGAATCCAGCGGACCTGCAGCAGCTGTGAATGTATCTGATATTCAGTTCACGCGGCTCAACACTTTGAGTGCTAAGTTCAGCTTATAAACCCAAAAATCATAATGGGCTCCCTAGACATTTTAATGTTAATTCATGTTCCTTTCTGTTCTCTGTGTGATAGTGTGGCCCCTAACATCACTTCCAGGAAAATGCTTTAATGAGCCGCAAATCCATTTCCCCGTAGGGCTCATTTTAAGAACAGTCCCTTCTTGGAACTTTTGCATTTCGGTGGACGATAAATAGCGGGTTTAACATGAGTCCTTCTGTCTGGTGCTGCGTGTCTGTCTTCTTGAAGATCTCTGAGGATCTGGAGAAGGTGAAGCAGGAGATGGAGGAGAGGGGAAGCAGTATGTCTGATGGAGGTAAGACCTGCGAACTGGCCTCAGGATCAGGGTGCTTAACGTCCTGCTCAGGTATCATGACCCTCAGAGAGATTAATCTAATCAAATTCAATAAATCACTGCAAAAGTATGTTAGAAAGCTGATAAATATTTCTGATAAATATACCTTAAAATTGGCTCAATAGCATTAAGTGCCAATGGTTGTGGGTTCGATTCCCCTACCTGCTCTGTGTGCATGTGTGTGACTTTCCCATGTCCTGGTATTCTCCTACCTCTGTGTCCTAAACCATTTCATCCTTCCACTAAAACGAACTCGTGTTTCCTCCCCTTCACAGCCCCCTTGGTCAAAATCAAGCAGAGCCTGACCAAGCTGAAGCAGGAGGTGGTTCAGATGGACATACGTATTGGAGTGGTGGAGCACACCATCCTGCAGGCCCAGCTGAAGGAGAAATCCAACATGACCCGAGACATGCACGCCACCAGCATCCCAGAGCCGGCCGTCGGCACCTACTGAGGTTCACACAGAGCCACATCACTTCCTGTCTGCTGCTGACCACTTCCTGGTTTCCTCTTTAAAACTAGAATGACTAACCTTTTGTTAATTATGCATGCTTCTGCAGTACAAAAAATGTTATACAATTTGTAAATATGATTTTTATATTTGCACCAAAATATGAATAATAAATTTTCTATAATATTTAGAATAACATTTTCTTTTGACTGATGTTTTTTTGTTTTCTTATGCAGTTATTTCTTCTCAAAAGTGATTTATTTATTCTGGGGTTTTTTTCAGCGTTTTATTTATGGGTAAAACATGAATCACTATTATTTCAGTCAGGTAAAATCATAGAAATAATGTGTTGTGAATGACATCGATAGGACGGATCTTGGAAAAAAATTGAAAGGGATGTAATATTTGAAAAAAATATATATTTTGACAGCTTTCCAGAAGTTACATCTTGAACAATACCGTCCGCTTTACCGTTATGCTTACCGTTAAGGGCGGGCTAGCCACCAGAGGGCACTGTGGTAGAGGGTTAGTGTTGCCCTGCGGCGAGATTACTTCATCTTGATAGCAGTGTTCTGTAGTTTGGGAAATGAGGAAAAAAACGCCTTTACCCTCTGATTTACTGTCATTTTGCACGAGTTCCACTAATTTTAGAATATATCGTGCATAATAATACTATTATTAAGTGCTGTCATCCGATTCCAACCCCAGTAAATGTCTTCACTCTACATGTGTCGTCAGGCTTCATAGTTGCGTATTGCTTTTTTTGTGTCGATTGAGTCCATATGTTTTGCTTCCCCTTTTTACCTTCATCTTTTCGAATCATTATACACTTTTCCTGCGCACTGGGTCTCCTCAAAGCTTCAAGTGAAACTCGACATTCTTCAAGCGAAAGGGCTTGATTTGTGCTATATTTTATTTAATGTCAGGATTCGTTACATTTTAATACAGCATCACTTTAAGTTTTGCTGTCTTCTTATTCGCATAACCTTTTGTAAAATATTCAATGTACACCGAAGATTCACATAGAACCCCGTGTTGTTGAGTCGGCACTAGGACCGCGCGGATTTCCGCGATAGGCGCGGCTGCTTGCCGACTAGAGACCGAGTCTGATTTTATAAAAGGCGATCAAAGGGGACTGTAAGGTGCAGATTGATTAATGTTCGCGTTTGAGGACAGGTGCAAGCTTTTATACTCTCCCTTTCATATGATGAAGAACAAGCAAAGTTGCTGAAAGGGGAAATCTTGTAAGTATTCACTGCTTCTATTGTCCCTAAGGACAATTTTTTTTTTGCTTTGGCTGTCAGGAAAAAAACAACTCCTTGGTCTGATTTGTGTTTCTTCAAGTTATGCAGTTGCAGGTTATTGTATATTTCTATGTAACCTATAGACGAGGTACACATTATATTGTAATTTTTAAACGATTTAGAGACTTTTTCATATGCATAGATGCGTGTGCCGTTTTATTAATTGGATATTACACTGTAACGGTGGAAGGTTAGTCTTGTTACAGAAATATGTCTGCATGTAGTTACGCTTTTGCTCGGTTACGTTGCGTCAGCTGCTCCATCCTGCTGCCGACTGGGAGCCCGATCGCACCGAAACACTGATCTTATGGCGGCGGGCGTCATAACCGGACACCGATCATACCGGGGAAGCCGTGTAAGTGTAAATGCGGTTGTAGCTATAACGGAAACTCCGAATGGATGAAGATGAAATCTGAATGCAATGGCTCCGATCATATATTAGTGTGGCGGTGGTTTCCAGCTGTTTTTGCTTTCGTTTTCTGAAGCTGCACTTTCGGGTGTGCAGCGATGCGCTCCACGTCCTGTCTGATGTCTGAGATGCGATGGCACTGTGGTCTTGCGGACACAGACAGGAAATACGAAAGCCATGGTTACATTTCAATCAGCCTTGCGATGATGATTTCTTATTTAAAAAAACAGGTGATGTGCATAAACATTACCCTAATTCCCAGGACAGGCTTTACCTTTTCATGCGCCCTAGCAAAGCTTTTACTGGGAGACCCTCCGCTGAAATCCAGACCAGCCATCAAATCAGAAATCTGATCATTTCATTTCCAACGCAAAGTAGGTATATCGAAGACTGCCGATTCCGCCAGACCTGGCCCTGCTACCTCCTTTAAAATAGGCTACATCACTTTTACAGTGCTGTCTAACACTATATGCCAGCGACTGTTTTTGCGGTACTGGATCCTGTTAATCAAAGAGGTTGTGCATTCATGCGTCTGCTGAAGGACATCATCCTTCTCATCTGTTTGAAAACAAACAGATCCCTGGTCACATGATTGGTGAGCAACCGTGTCCAATTTGTGGGGATGGGGGTGGGGGGGGGGACGCTTTCAGAAAGCCCCCTCTTCAGATCTGGCTCACCCACTACTGGAGGTGCTGATTGCAGTGCAGTACAAATACCTCATTCTTTTAAAGTCCATCTGGCAAATGCAACTCTTGCTCTATATTCTTAGGAAAAGCTACAACAATAGGTTAATACTACAGTTGTGTCTTTTTCACGTATAGTTGCAGTCTTGCCATCCGTCTCCCAGCTGTTTATTATGTCCTCGGTCTGTAGAGGGGTGTGGGATTTGTTGTGGCAGTTTCAACTTTCTCATGGGCGTCATCACCATAAACTTCTGCTGAGCCTCGCAGCCGAGCGTGGCTGATCGTGCAGACGATGTCCTAGTCAGCGGCTGCGAAAGGCTGGCTGATCGTGCAGACGATGTCCTAGTCAGCGGCTGCGAAAGGCTGGCTGATCGTGCAGACTATGTCCTAGTCAGCGGCTGCGAAAGGCTGGCCAGGCAGGAAACCATATGTCTCATGTCTGGATGGTGCCTAACTCAGCTGCTACTGTGAAAGACAGATTGTAGTTAATTCAAGCGTAGTATTTCGACGACTGTGGTGTGATTGTGCCGTTTCTTCAGTATAACAGGTTGTGTTAAAACAGAAAGTTTCCGAGATCTCTCGGAATTCCCCACAGTAGTACATGTGCAAGATGGAAACCAAATTTTATTATTTTATTTAGGAAATTGATCCTTTAAAAACTTAGACAAATAACCCGACAGCACATAATGTTGCACGGTTCTCTTCCTGTTTATAAAAGTGGTCCAGACTCTTGTTTTCATTCTTGGGTAAGTGCAGAGATGTATGGAAGCCCGTTTCCGCCAGGTAGTAAAAAAAATATAAGCCACGGAATCTCGCAATTGCGACTTAGTAAGTCAGAATTCTGACTTTATATCTCGCAATTGCGACTTAGTAAGTCAGAATTCTGACTTTATATCTCGCAATTGCGACTTAGTAAGTCAGAATTCTGACTTTATATCTCGCTATTGCGACTTTATATGTCAGAATTCTGACTTTATATCTCGCAATTGCGACTTAGTAAGTCAGAATTCTGACTTTATATCTCGCTATTGCGACTTTATAT